GGGGGGGGCACCCTAACCAACTGGCTGGCTACATTGTTGGATGGACTCAATAATGAAGTGCTAGTAGAGACCGGGTGGCCACCCCAGCCGACTGGTTGGTCACATCGTCGGATAAACTCAACAATGAATAAGTGTCAAGACATACGTAAATGTGTCAATGAAGATAACCAGTGACAAAATTAATTGGTAACTCCCGAGGACAATAATAACTTGTAACGCTCAAAGATAATAATAGCCCGTAATTTTTAGGAGTATAATAAATTATAACTCTCAGAGATAATAATAACTTGTAACTCCGGGGGCGGTAGTGTAATTTTCTAGATACCTCCTATGATATATAGATAGGATGATCTTTTTCATGTGAAGGAGAGGAGGCAATTTGGGTTTTCTAGTCAGTTATGCATTACTCTTTTCTTTTCTTGTAACAACTTGTTTTAATATATAAAATGGGTCTGGGAGTCAGGGAAACTCCCCCACTTTGCCCCGGTGGGGGCATTCACTGTGCCACTTCTACCTTCTCTCTCTCTCTCTCTCTGCCTCCTTCTCGGTCCCTACGCTCTATGCCTTGGGAATGGTCTATAGGACAAATTTGGATTCAACAAATTTAATTTGGGCAAATTCTTAGATTTCTAAAAGAAAATGCGGGTATAAATCCTCTATCATTGTGAGACTCAATTTAGGGTGCACAACCCTTGGAAAAGGATTTGGTGCTCTCGTTCGTCAGATACAATATTTATCTTAATATATACAGATACAAACGTAAGCCTATTACATATATAAGTTGGGCACAAGATTAACTAAACTAATATCAGTGTGCAATTCATTATATTTGCATATTTATGTTAAAATTGATATCTAAATTTTATAGAAAATAATCTAGATGTGGTGAGCCGTTGGGCCAGTTGAGAGGACTTGTTTTCCTTCAACTTCACGACCCACGTCCGAGTACACTAATCCCCGCTTATCTAGCTAGTTACCTCTAAAAATAATCATTCATAAAAACCACAAGGATAAACATTAGGAGCCAATTAAACTTCCAAAATTAAAATTTACCACGGGTTTATTGCTGAATTTTTTGCAATGATTAAAATTGCCATAAATGAGGTTGGCATGGAACTTGAACTAACGCTCCTAATAATAGTTGCGACGATTATGACTGCTATAAATCCTTAGACTTATAAAATTATCGTCGTCATAAAAATTTTAAACGCATTTATTAAATATTCTTATTACAGTTGTAAGATAATTATTTTATTCAACCGAGCAAAATAATAGCTCAAAAAACAATACTTTTTACACTAAAAAATTAACAAGTTTTAAATGCATGTGCTGACTTCCTATTTTGCATATAAGATGAGTTAGAAGACAATATTATATCTTTATGACGTAGAATTTGTAGGTGAGGGCAAAGAGCAAATTTAAAGGAAAGAAAAATCATTTCCCTTGAAGAAATACAATGAATATCAATATGATCCATATTTCCACAAAGCCCCTTACATTTTTCTCAAATATCCTTGTGATTTTCTACTCAGTGGGAGCAGGGCTAAACGACTGTTAGGGGCCTCTCGCTTAAAAATTTCATTTAAGGAAATTTTTAACTATAAATGCAAATTTATTAGAAAATATTCTGATCCACAGCGGCCGCCGGTGTTGTGCTTTTAAGTTTTATCCTCCTTTAAAAAAAACTTAAAGTGCAAAGAATAATTTTGGGATGAAAATGTGCTTAGTGCCTAATCAGTCCAAGACAATTTATTACTAAGTTTTATCCTCCTTTTAAAAAAATTAAAGTGCAAAGAGTCCAAGACAATTTATTACAGTCCAAGACAATTTATTACTAAGTTTTATCCTCCTTTAAAAAAAATTAAAGTGCAAAGATTAATTTTGGGATGAAAATGTGCTTAGTGCCTAATCAGTCCAAGACAATTTATTACCATATTTAATTCTATGAAGCCGAGAATCCACACATACACTGTTCATGCCAAGATTAACGTGGTATCATAACAACTGGCACTGTTACATTATCAAGCTTTTACACAATAAACAATTCGTAATTTTATTTACTTATCATTTGTAATAAGAAACTTTGAGATTCATTGAATTATTTCAAACTAATATACTCAGGCATTCGAGCACAAAGCTAAATAGATTGCCATATGAGATTCAAGTTTTGCAGCATAGAGATACCTGTTCAAAAAAATGGGATAATGTCAAAAATCATTGAGAAGTGTTATTTGATTTGTAAAAAACAAAACAGAAAGGGGGAATTTTGGGAGGATTTTTTTAATCAAAATCAACATAATAGGGCAACTTAAAATATGAAAGTACATTACTATTAGCTTAATTCTATCAAATCCAAATAACATCTTTATACGAACAAACAAATTGCGTGGTGCATCAATAATATAAACACTATGGTGATCTATATATTAATCCACAAACCTAGAATTGCGCATTAGCAGTATTATAGTTTAATAAAAGCATCTACAGATTTGAATTAAAGATCTTATAAATAAGGCATGAATCATAAATCTTCACACCTCTAAGGGTAGTAAAATCACATCGTGCACAAACAAATCAAGTTTATTGCCAGCAATTTACTTGCCACAATTTTTTGGTCTGTCTCCTTAGAATATAAAAGCTCAAAATTCCAAGCAGGAAAAACAACATTAAATAGTGAAACATTTGATCAAAGAAAATTATTATTTTTTTTGCAAAATTATATATTTATTGAGCATATTTTGTAATTTATTATTTCTTATTCTTAGAAAAAGTAGCTTTGATACAAAGAGAATGAAAAGATCCAAAATAAATGTGAATTTGTTTTGAGTTTGCTTTCGCTCTCCTTGCTAATTTCTCAATTATGGCTGCCATTTAGGCATTTTTCTCAAGCCTACTGTCCCGGTTCATCTTTTGCATTTCCCCAATTCCAAGGCTATCCCTCTACAAAAACCCGTTTTAATCTTTCCTTTCTATGGAACAGTATCCGCCTCTACTCTTCTCCTTCTGCCTCTGCACTTCAGTACTGAGCAAAGGCTGCTACTTTTGGTTTACTATGCTGTAAAGACGCCTACTTGCAGAAGGAGAAAGTGGAGCACGAAGGAGAGTACTGCCTCCTGTTTCTTCTCTTGAAATTTCCGTATTTTCTATTAGCGATGGGCATAAGCTATGAATATGCATCTTCAATCCTCCTATGTGCTGAGGAAAACAGCAGCATCTTGGGCTTAGATGAGGAGGAAGAAGAGATTGAGAGACATTGGTCCGATTTGTCTCTTCAGCAAAAAAGCTGCGACCTTTATGGGAGTTTCTTCATGGCCTTTCCCCTGGAATCAAATGAGTATTTGTGCTTGTTGATGGAGAGAGAGGCAGAGCATATGCCAAGGCAAGACTACGCCGAGAGATTGACGAGTGGCGGTTTGGATATCATCAGAACACATGCCATTGATTGGATTCTAAAGGTAAGGCATTCTGCTATCTCCTTAGATTAATTAAGTTTTCATTTGATTCTTCGTTTGATGATTTTCATGTTTCCAAGGAGTTTTAGATCAATATTAGAGTATTAGATCTTTCACTGTTATTGAGTGTCGCTCGTTTTTTTTTTTTGTTTTAGTGGTTGGTTAATCTGGTTTGCTGTCGATCCGCTTCTTTGTTGATCTGTAATTATATTAGTATTGGTCTCTTGATTTGGTGGCAATAGTTTTAGCCTGTTTTGCTCTGGGAACAATGGAGTTCACCCGCTTGTCCATACCGTCATTTTTTTTTCCAGTACATGTAGTTGAATACAGGAGAAATTTTCTTTTCCCGGCAGATTTAATTTGTGGGTTTTTATATAATATTGACAGGTTCATGCCTATTACAATTTTGGACATTTGAGTGCTTACCTTTCTGTAAATTATCTGGATAGATTCCTGTCATTCTATGAGCTCCCTGTAAGTCTTTCAGTGTTTTGAAAAGCTGTCTTCAATCATTGCATATGCTCTATCTTAACAATGGTATTTACCCGTAGAAAGGAAAAACTTGGATAACTCAATTATTATCAGTCTCATGCTTGTCTTTGGCTGCCAAAATGGAGGAGGAGGTGGTCCCTCTATTGCTTGATCTGCAGGTAGCGAACGAAATATTGCAATTTGGAGCTCATTAATTTACTCCATGTTTCCATGACATGAACTTTTTTGTGGATTGATAGGTGGTGGAGGCCAAGTTTGTTTTTGAGGCTAAGACTATACAGAGAATGGAACTTCTTCTGTTAAGCACCCTGAAATGGAGGATGCAGGCTGTGACACCTTTCTCCTTTATGGAATGCTTCTTTCGAAAGCTGAATGGTGGTAATTTGCCGTCCAGTCAATCAATCTCTCGAGCAGTGGAGCTCATCCTTAAAACCATCAGAGGTATATCTTGCATTTATAATATTCTTCGTTTAAATCTCTGAATTAAAATTTATCCTTCTTAATTTATGCAGGGATTGCCTTCCTATCATTCAAGCCATCGGAAATTGCTGCAGCCACCACACTATCGGTGAAGGGTGAAGCCAGTGCTCTAGAAGTTAAAGAGGCCATCACTCATTTCAGCGAAATAGATAAGGTAAAAAATAGTTTCATATGATATCATACTACCACCTTCTTCAGACTACATTGAACAGCAAGAAGAACACTGTGGTTGCAGATGAGAGTGTTAAGATGTTATGAAGCGATGCAGGAGGAGATAATGATGACTTGTGCAGAATATACAGATAATAAGAATTGGATTCCACCGGTTACATATATGCCACAAAGCCCAAATGGCGTTCTGGATGCTGCATGCTTGAGCTACAAGAGTGATGAAATGATTTCTGGGTCACGGCCAAGTTCTCACCACTTCCCCACAGCAGAGAAAAGAAGAAAAATTAGCAGGGCTTCTATTTCATGAAGGGGAGGAAGTTCCCCTTTCTGTTTCTATATTCATAACAGAAATGATGACAGAAATGATGAAAAAAATGGAAGGGAAAGAATTATGGAGGTGGAGATCTGTTGCCCATGATTTGCAACTTGAAGGGGTTGCACACACCTGCAGTTAAGCAGGCATATTTTGACTAATAGGAAGGGAAGACAATAGAACGCTTAAGTGGATCAATTAAAGTGAAAGTGGATTAGAGCAAATTAGTTCACATAAATAAAATTGAGTTTAATTTTGTTTTTTGTGCGTATTTGCTTAGGGAGCAAAGATTTTATTTATTAGAAAATGAAAATGAGAAGAGAGAGGCCGATGTGGGTGTGCTAGGGAGATGGTATTGTTCTATTGTAATGAGTATTTGTTGTTGCTGTTTTCGATATTCTGTATAAAGTCTTAATGAAAATTTTTCCATAGAACTAAAGGAGCGCAGCTATAGCACAGAGAAAAACTTCCTTCGTCACAGAAATAGAGTAATTATTCCTTTTAGATTACCATATGTTTGATCATCTTTGTAGTAATATTGGTGCCTGTTATCCCATGGTGATTTCTAGTAGAAATTCGGTTGAATTCCTAAAATGAAAAGTTTTTTGGATTCTTTCTTGTAATTTTTGAATTAATTTTGTAATGTAGATGGAAATTTATATTTTTAATACATTCATGAATGATTTTCTATATTTATATACAATTGTTTCTGAAAATGTAGAAATCTTTATTTGAAGAAACTTAAATTGTTTTAGTTGTTTATTTGACAATAAGGCTCAATCTTCAGTAGAAATTTATTCAGTCTCAGATAAATTTCTATGCTAGAAGGGATCTAAATGTGCAGTAAATTATGTAACAGAATATTTGGTTCTGCTCTTCTGTCATGATTAAACAAAAGAGAAAACTAAATTAGTTTTTAAAATAACTATGATTTTATTACCTTAGCAGTAAATTTGTTCTGTTTGTTCCCCAAAAAAAAGTAATTTGTTGTCTGTCAACCTAGTTTGACTGCTTGTCTGCTTATTAGATAAAACTTGAAAGTTTGTTCTCTGTGGTACTAAAGAAGGAACCAAGGGCAGCAGTGAGCAAAAATGAAAGCTTCTTAATGAGATGGTGGGGTGTGAGTGTTGTGGTGTTAGAAGTTTAGTATCGTTGGCTTCATAAACTTCATTTCTGGCAACAAAACACTTATTTCTATTTGTATAAAGTTCTGTCTATCGTAAATTGGCATTAGTCAAAGTATGTTCTCTTAAATTTGCCTCTTTTGCATGAATAAAAACGCATAAGAGGGCTTACAATAAAATATATTTTTTCTTAGGAATGTGTTAGTTGGCACTAAAGGCCCATTCGGCGCAGCTGCAGTTGCGCTGCAGGAAGCTGCTGCGGCGAAGCTGACTGCATGTTTGTTGCAGCCGCGTGAAAACAGTTGTGGGACAGCTGTTTCTGAAAAAATGACCATTATGCCCACATTTAGTAAAACTGTTTAAAACAGAATCATGACAACCACATATTTGATATTTCAGAAGCAGAAATGCATTTAAAAATAGAACAAAAGTTCAGGTATACAATTCATTTAATAGTGAGTACCGAAAGTGCTAAAGAAAAAGAAAAAACTAAAAAAATTACAAGTAAAATAATGATAATATTATTTTTAACAAGAAAACGATATATGTCTCGTCGTAAACTGTCCTCCAATTATGCTATCAATTCGTGATCAGTTTCGGCAGTGGAATCAACCTGACTGTCAGTCAATCGGAAGAAGTCACACTTTTCTGTGAGGCTCCGCGACCATCTGTAAAATAATGGCAGAGAATTCTCTTTTGTTCAATGCCATCTTCTTGGCTCAAAAGGCAAATGCCATATTCATGTTAAAACTTCGCGGCATATGAAATAATACACCATGCGGTTGCCGTTTTCTTGGCTCAGAAGGCAAATGCCTTGCTTATTTGTCAATCAATTTTTTTAAAAAAATTTATTGAAGCAATCTATTTTCTTTGGAGAAATCGAAACAAGTATCATCCACGCTCGCATACTCCAGGTCATCATGCGTGAGTCAAAATACCATTCATTAGTGTTTGTTTTGCTAAAGATATATTTTCATTTACATAAAACCATTCATCCATTCATAAATTAGGAGGAAATGCATGCTCCAGAATCCAAATATAAATGTCCAGGCCACAACAGCAACCCAACGATACCACATTCATATAGAACATAGAGAGTATCTATGTGTATCAATAAAACCACCAAAACCAAACACGTATATAATATAAGATTAAACAAGTATATAATATAGATTACACATTTTACACAGCCAATAATCAACATCCAACAAAAGCAAGCCCAAAGAATAATTCACCAAAAATAATAAATAATAGGACATCTAATCCAATAGCTTCAGCAGTCCTAAAACAAAACATGGAGATATAATTGGGATAAAACAGCAATGTAGATAACATTAAGCCTTTTGGGAGCTAACACAGTATTAATTAGGTAGCAAAGCAGGAATTTTTATTTAAAGAAATCTGTTCATTACATGCATACCACCCAGTTCCTATGTATTTACATATCAAACACATACACTTTGCTTTTAACATTTATAACACCAAAAATTTTCATATTACATCAAAAATACCACTTTTTCAACTTCTCAAAAGTGAATACAGCTTCTCGTGCATATGTAAGGTGGAAAATATGTAAAAAATGAAATATAGGTGTGTTAGATATGTAAATAGATAAGGATTGAGTGGTTTCTATTTAAATCTTCCTATTTTTTTATCAGCAAACAGTCAGCTTTATATTTCTGCTTTGCCTTTTGTGGGAAGTCCAGTAGATGGAACATTTTATAACAAATGGGGAGAAATATATTTTATCAGCTAATTTTCTTCTAAGTATAGTTCCATAAGAAAAAAAGAGCAAAAGAAACATCTTTTGAGTTATGGAACATTTAAGACTTTGAAAAGAATAGCCAAAACAAAAATGAGGGAATGAAATTGGGAAGGTTGAAGAAAAGCCCAGATTAACTAAAAGAACGACAATAAAATAGTCTTTAGCTCCAACTTCTGTAGCCTATATGGTAGAGACAAAGCGTCAAACTATAATAAATAACTTGTATGTTTTTATGAAAGGTTCTTTGTAGAAAGAGACCATAAAAAGCTAAATTTATTCCATTATGCAGAATCACACATGGGAACAAATATAACTCCCTCAAGGGCTAAAATTATATCATTAAGCAACAGTTTTAACTTGAATCCTTCCAAACAGGATCTGACACTATCAATTTCCTTCGCGAAGAGTGCAACATCAATTAAGCCTGAACACCATAACACTTAAAAAATTGCCCTCAAATAAAACGAAACAACAATCGAGCTTCATAGGAAGCTGAAGGAAATACAATACTGCCGAATTACTTACCCTAAACCGTCATTATTCTTAATTTTCTCTTAAAATTACCTCCAGGAGACTATGGATTCTCTACCCATATTATTGATCACGACTTTAAAGAGGCAGTGAAGGAGGGAAAGCCCCGTGCTTCCAGCGACGGTGGAGGAAATGGGAGTGAAGGGGGCTTGATGCTTCGAAGGGGATCGTCGATTCGCGACGCGTTCGAGAGCAGGGGGGCTTCACGAGTTGAGACGCTGGAACCTCCTTCAGCGAGCTAGGGTAGCGAAGGTATCGCGGGTCAAAGATTGGACTTTCTGGATCGGTAACGCAGGCCGAAGGGTCGATCCCGCGGCCCGCGAACGCTTAATTTAAATGTCGATACTGTTTGGGGCCGCGCCTAACGGACCCTACATCCTTTTAAAGTGTAGATCTTAAAATCAATCGTTACTAACACAACACTTACAAAATGAAGAGATTTTTTTTTTCAAGGAAAGGCAAAATTAAGAGTTTGTTCGGGTAGCTGTGTCGATTTGAAGAAGTAAGTTATGAAGCTGTAATTAAAAAAATTGTGATGACAAATCCAATATATATATATATATATATATATATTGAAAAAATAACAGTTTTCTAGCAGCTACCACAAGTGTAGTCAAGTTTGGTGATAAATCACAACCTTCAGCTATTGCATTTTGAAAAAGTAGGCAGAACCCAATTTTTCCAAACAGGAAAAACTATCATGCGACAACGCACTGCCCCTCCACACAAACACACCCTAAAATCATAACAAAACATATTAAAAGTATATTTCATTGAATCCCAAATTGTTCTTTGGATCAGACCCAAAGAAAAGAGCTTCGGTTGGATGAGAGGTATAAAAGAAAGTAGGAGGATGAAAAAATAAATGTCTTTTTGGAGCAGCTGCAACTGTTTGAAGAAGCAGCTGAAACTGTTATAAAAAAAGTTACTTTTCAAAAAATAGTGGTAGATATTATAAATATATTTTATTTTTAAAAAGTCGGATCGTGGTTTTCTGGTAGTTACCACATTTTAACAGTTTAGGTTGAAAAAACAATATTCTACCACAAAAATTTCTAAAAAAATAGCAGGAAAGTTATTCCCCAGACAGAATTGTGATGACGGTTTGAAAACGTAAAGCAAACAGAAAAATGTCCAAAACAGACCCTAAGTCACAAATAACACTAATTCTCTGGGAATATATGCAGTAGTCATTTTCATAAAAATGACCCTCCTATTTATAAGTCATAAAATAGGTCCAATAAATTACATAATTATCCCTCATTTGATCGGAACGTTATTATTCTATGTGTCATTACACTTACATATTTATAACTAAATCATACATATCTTAACCTTGCAACCGCTACTGGCGTCTTTTCATATATATTTATATATATATAACTTCCCTAGGCACCGTTTCATATTTGTAACTGATTGGCTCGGTCATGTGATGTTCGTTCGGTGGACAGAAATGTCATCTGATAGACTGAACTATCTTCGGTCGACTTTTTCTGAGAAAATCCATTGTGTAGACTCAATGTCCTTTAGAAAGATTATTCCATAATGCAGAGGGCGCATTACCATAATCTGACATGCTGCTTACCTTCGGTCTATAAATCTATATAGAATATGTTCTCACCATATAATTGTTAACCCGGAGAATGCCATTATGTTTATTAAGTTGTTATAAGTGTAGATGTGTGACACTCTTTGGTTCGGTCATACCAATATTTGGTCGGCTTCGAATTCGACTGATTGGCATGATAATAGATTGCTCGATCTTCGAGATTCGTGCGGTCATATTTCTAATGTACGCATTTATTCAACCAATTATTTTAAAAGTGAAATTACAATTACAGTTCACGAAAAATAGGACATAATTTTCTTACAGATTATTATTTAAAGTGCAGAACAGCCCGTAGATGGATGATGGATCAATGACATTTCCATTAATAATGCATTGGCCTTGACAAACATTCACTTAGCAATAATTAATTAAAAATTAATTCACATTATAAGGCGGGGAAACTACGTTGAAATAAGTT